CCCCCCCAAAAAAATTGAATTAAGACAAAACCACGACAAACGTTTTGCTCCTGAGGGACATGGAGGCTCTGCGGGTTCAGTTTTGTGATCGGCTGGGGATGGAGTGGGGGAGGCATGTGATTCATGAATGCCCAACCCATCTGAACCACTTGCAACAAGGGGGGGAGACATTTTGGGGTAGCCAGCACCCCCCCTCCAGCTCCTTGAAGGAGCCCTTGTCCCGTCTCTTGCTTGTGTTTCGCCCGCCAAGGGTGGGACGACGCTGATGTCATTGTGGAGATTAAGAGAGATCTTGAGCAGAAACCGGGACTAACCCTTGGCCCAAATTCCAAGCTGATGAAGGAACAGCCAGGCTGGGATATCGCAAAACGATAAGAGGCCTTACAGTCAGTGACCTTAGAAGGGAAGCTGGTCTCTCTTTGGCTGTTTTTCTTGGACTTCTTGACACCGCTGGGAGGCTGGAACTCCCTCCTGAAGGGCCCACCACCCGCAAGGATACACCCTGCAACTTGTACCCATTCCAAACTCTCCTCTGCTATACAAGGTTTTTGGGAAAAGAACAAGGGGAAGGCAGAGAGATAACTGAGCTGGCCAGAGATATACAAATGGTTTGCAAAAGCAAACATCTTGGATTCGCAGAATTGTGGAACTGGAAGGTATCCGCAAGGGTCATCTCGTCTACCCTCCAGCTAGGCAGGAATCCAAAGTAAAACTTTCCCGAAAGGGAAGCTCCGTTTAAAACTGCCAAGGAAGGAGAAGGTCCACCACCCTCCGAACCACAGCGTTCCTGTCAAACATCTCTTACCATCAGGATGCTCTTCCTAATGTGTAGGCAATGTTTCTTTCCTCAGAATTCGAATCCATGGCCCTGGAGCCATGAAAAGACAAGCCCGGCTCCAAATTCCACAGGAGAGATCGTCAAATGTTTAAAGTCAGCCGTCGGATCAGCTTTCGATTTTCTGTCCCTCAAGCTGAATGAAAAAGACAGTGAAATCCAGTCATCCTACAGCTTATTCGCTGGGGGTCCCAGCTGATTTCATTTCCAAGACTGTGTTGAACGCGGATCACCAGAAAGTTACTTTTTTTTTAATGACTACTTCACAGGCTAGAGTGGTCATGCTGTCTTGGGGTGATGGGAATTGTAGTCCAAAAATGGTTGTCTAGGACAATGATTCCAATTCTTACAGCTACAGTTAGTCCATGGGAACTGAAGGTGCTGGATGGCCAGGGGCCACTGACCGGCTGTTGGAGGACTGGGAATGAGTTTGTCTGTCTGTCTGTCTGTCTATTTATTCATTCATTAATTCATTCAAGTTTGTCTGTCTGGAGTAATGCTGTCGCCCACTTTGGGAGTTTCTTCCCCAGCTAAGAAAGAGAGCTACTCTGTCTGTCTGTCTGTTTATTTATTCATTCATTAATTCATTCACTTTTGTCTGTCTGGAGCAAAGCTGTCGCCCACTTTGGGAGTTTCTTCCCCAGCTAAGAAAGAGAGCTACACATGTTTTTTCCGACGCCTCTAAAAAGAGCGCAACTACCTTTGTGAAAAATAGTAAGTTGTGGGTCCACAACTGTGCCACATCAAATATGGGCACAAAGATGGAAAATGGGAGATGCCACATTTCTAAACAGAACCCCAGGAGGAGAGTGAGGGGGGAGCAGAACATCAGCTGTGCTCTCTTGAGAAACCAGCTGGAAAAGCTTGGTGATGTTGTCAGATTCTTCTTCCAGGGTCAGGGCAGATGGAAAATAAACAGGAGGACCCTGGAGAGCAAGGAAAGGCGGGCAAGTCAAGCCTCAGGACGGAGACCCCAATCCCTGATGGCTCCCTGGATTGTTTTGACAGCTGCCATCGCACAACCGCAGTGGGACAACCCTCAAGGAAACAAGCGTCTGCAGAAGCTTTCCTGGTGCAATCTATGAATTTATATAAAGGAGGTTCTGTCCGGGAAGGCTGTGCGGGTTGCAAGGCAGGCCCGAAGGTCTAGCGGCCCATTTGGGAACCAAGAGGTGGCCTTAGAAAGTCCCACGGTTCATCCCAGAGCCTGTCATCATCCTTATCTGGACTACATCTCCCAGCATTCCCGACGGCCCTGCTGGCCAGTAGACTTCAGACCCCGGAATGCTTCCATCTCCCCTTTTTAAGTTCTGGTAGGCAGCCTACAAAAAAAGTAGCCAAAATGCAGGAAAGGGGTCCAGAACACAGTTTGCTTCCATCCTGAGTGACCTGATCTTATCTTTAAAAGCAAAATGAAAAAGGCAGTGAACTCAGGACCTCCCCCTAACTAAGCCAAGCACAGCTTCTGTTGCTGGCCTGTGGCTTCTCCTTTTTCCCGGCTGACAAAAAGACAGGAGATACAGATCAGCAGCTCCTGTCCTCCTAAAGGACTCCCTCTCAGAGGAGGCCGCTGGCATTTTTGATGGAGGAGGAGAGGAGCGCTCAGCTGCCAAGGACGTGAAAAAGAGCTGCGCTTGGTTGCATTCAGATCAACGATTTCCCCCAAAACGGGTGGCAGTGATTTGTTCCACAGCCCAGGGGTGAGTCATTGCTGGGGAACGCCACCGCGCTTTCGTTTGGGGAAAGCAAATGCTTTGCTAAAAGGGAGACTTCCTTCTTCCTCACAATGTCTGACATGACCTGTTGTTGCGAGAACATCGGACAAAAGGTCCCTCTTTCTCCAGCCGGGAAGGTCTTGGTTTCAAGCCAGAAGGGGCAGCCGCTGCTCCTCCCGAGAGAGCCACTCATGCCTACGCACCCTCCCGGCTGTCAGTTGACAGAGCAGGAAGCCTGCCGCTTCCACCTCCATAGTTCTGCTCATTTCGCTGGCAGAAACGTCGTGTTCATAAAAAAAGCAATAACAGGGAAGGAAGAGGCAAGGAAAGAATGCTGCTCAGCAGCTCATCCTAAGAATGTCTGTTGTTCTTTCAGAGGCATTCTTGAAGGCTTTCATGGGCGGGATCTGATGGCTCTTGTGGGTTTTTCGGGCTCTTTGGCCGTGTTCTGAAGGTTGTTCTTCCTGACGTTTCGGCAGTCTCTGTGGCCGGCATCTTCAGAGGACTGGAGTAGTAGGACAGAGCATGGACAGAGTTCCTACTCCAGTCCTCTGAAGATGCCGGCCATGGAGAATGGCGAAACGTCAGGAAGAACAACCTTCAGAACACGGCCAAAGAGCCCGAAAAACCCACAGCAACCTTCTTTCAGAGGTCTTTTAAGCTGTGGACATCGTACAGGGGCAGAGGTTAGACTAGATGACCCTCCGGGTTCCTCTCTACAATTCCAGCCCTCTAAGAGGGCACCAGCCGCTCCTAAGACAGGGATGAGGAAGGCCTTGTTCCTGGGTCCAATCCTCCACGCTGCCCTGACAGAATCCAGGCTTCCTTCCTTAGGACAACGCCAGCTCACGGGTCTCCCGTCTTCTCTCTCTCCCCCCTCCAAAAAAAGGTGAACTGTCTCTCCTGTGGCATCACAGAACGGCTGAAAGAACTGTCTCTCCTATGGCATCACACAACGGATGAAAGAGCCCAAAGCTGAAATAACCTTCTTAGAAATGGAACTGGGCTCCTGAACAGAAAGATGTGCTAACCTGTGCTAACCACCACCTCTGAGTTGTATGATCACGGCCAACCTAAGTCAACAATGGCCGCGACATGAAGTCATGCCTCTGCTTATTTTTCCATGTGTGGTCCTTCCTTGGCACTTCTCCTCTATGCTTTCCAAGAAAATGGGGCGTCCCAGGGAAGGGGGGAGATGTGGACAGACAAAGAGAGATCCAGAACACAAGAGAAGCCAGGCCGGTGGGAACAAAAAGATTTTTTTTGCCTCTAATTCTTGACCATTAATCAAAACTGAAGCAGGAAGCGCCGTTTCTAGCTTCTTTCTTTCAATTAATCCTCTGTGTGTGCCTTAAGCGGCCTCTCCTTGTCATCCCCTTGAGGCCAAACCCACCTCTCTAGGAGAGGAAACAGGGTGGTGTTTTTTTAAGCCAGAAAAATATTTTTTATGAATCTTGGGGAGGAAGAGTGTGGAGATGGCCCAGGGGACCCTGAAGGCCCCATGCGGTCCAACCCCAAGACTCTACCTAAGTTCATATTGGGCAGAAAACGAACAGTCGAGAAAGCTCAGGGAAAGGAGTCTCCAAGAGGCTTAAGGGACAATAAGAGTTAGACTGGAAGGGAGGCAGAGCAGCGGAAGAAATGGAAGGGGGGAAAAAACACTCTGTGGTCATTTACTCCACCAGACAAGGGAGTTAAAAAACAGGTGTGAAAGCCAAGGAAACAAAGGGTGGAAATGGAAGATGAGGAAGGGGAGGGCTGGAAAAGAATGGGATGCTGGGGAGAAAAACTGATATATTGCCTGGTATAAGAGGAAGTGGTGTTGTTGGAAAAGAATAAAGGAAGAGAAGTTGCAGAACATTAAAGACTGCCTTGAAAAGTGAAAACAAGCTCACCCCAGACTGGGAGTCTGTTTAAAATAATGGGGACCCCATGGATGCTCCCAGAGGCTCATAAATCATGTGTGCATGTGGAACTGAAGATGACCCACCCTCCACACCACCTCATGGCTTGGTCCTGGCCTGGCATTCCAAGGTAGACTGCCCTTGTAAAGAGAGGTTCAGCACAGCTTTCACAATTCATGCCTATTGCTACACTTCCCTCCGCCAAATGAGTTTCCTCTTTCCAAATCGAATCTAATTGAAAGTCTGGTTCTGTTTTGTGATCCATTGTGTCGGGAAGCACCTCCTTTTAACCCACAGCTCCAAACTCTGGCCATAGCTAGGCATTTGAACCAAAGGTCCTAAATTCTGTAGTCCCCTGCAAGGTGTATATACATGCAGAACAGGCAGGACTGTTGAAAAATATTAGAAATGGATTATAATCAGGGGACGGCTAGGCATAAATCTTACTCAGAGAAGTGCAGATGTGAAGCCAAACGCAGCATTCGCTAGAGGACAAAATCCAGCTTCCCATTCCTCTCAGTGACTAACAGAACACAAGAATTCCACTGTTCATCCTCGCTGCTCTCATGTTGTGTAAACAATCAAACATGAAACCCTTTATACAATCTCATGTCATTGTGTATTAGACGACGGGAAGTCCCTAGATGCTTGTGGCCACTGAAATGGTGGGCTGACTTTCTCCGAGATGGAACACGGGTGCAGATTCCTGCTGGGGTCGAGGCTCGGAGATGGGGTGCGTTGTTTTGTTTGTTTGTTTCTTTTATAACTCCTAGGCCTCCCCTTCCTCCTCCACAGCCATGGCTGATTCCTGCCTCTCTTGCTCGGGGTCTCCTGGGAGGATGCTGGTCACCGTCTGGAGAAGGGAGTCAATCTGATCTTCCGTCAGCCTCTCCTCGCTCTCCTCCACGATCTGCAAGCCAAAAGCAGGAGACGTTGATTCATGCTCTCCCATCGCTGTCCAAGGGTAGACAGGAAACCTGGTCCGGCAAAGACCTCATGCACGCTTTTGTTTATGCCTTGCAGCGAAGTTGCAGCTATCAAAAAATGATTCAGGCCACTGAGATTTCAATGGCAGCGGGCCCATCTTAAACTCCGGATTGAATCTTCAGCCTGTACACTCAGAAGTGATCTAACCACTGTTTTTTTAAACATGGTGATTATTATGTCAACGACAGGGCTAATATTCACTTGTTTATTTATCTGAATGGTTTGTTGGCTGGAGCAACCTGCAACGCTGCTCACGCAAGGAAGCAGAGGCTTAGGAACAAGGGTATTGGGAGCAAAAAAGAGTAGAGGGAGAGTAAGCTCAAGAAAAGCTATTAAACTTTAAGACCAGGGGGATCAGTAACACTCAAGTAAGGAGTGCTTCAAGTCCCAGAAATCACTAAAAAAGCAACAGGAAAGATTTGATTCTTACCTATTTTGGTAAATCTGACCATTATGTCAACAACAGGGCTAATGTTCACTTGTTTATTTATCTGAATGGTTTGTCGGCTGGAGCAACATGCAACGCTGCTCACACAAGAAAGCAGAGGCTTAGGAACAAGGGTATTGTGAGCAAAAAAAGAGTAAAGGGAGAGCAAGCACAACAAAAGCTATTAAACTTTAAGACAAGGGGGATCAGTAACACTCAAGTAAGGAGTGCCACAAATCCCAGAAATCATTAAAAAGCTTCAGGAAACAGGAAAGAATTGATTCTTGCCGATTTTGGTAAATCTGACCGAAGCGATGCCCTTCTTCCCCAGAAAAATGCATACAGACATACTCACAGAAAAAAACAAGTTTCAACGTTACAGGAAAGAAAAGGAAAAAAATAGAAGATGTATACCAGGGGTCCTCAAACTACGGCCCGAGGGCCACATGCGGCCCGCTGAGGACATTTATATGGCCTGCCAGGTGTTTATGCCGCTGCTGCCTATCTGTCATTTTTTTTTACATGAGAAGGAGGTCATTGGTGGAAGAGGAAGAGGGAGAGGGGGCAGCCACCGCCGGGGATCAGTAACACTCAAGTAAGGAGTGCCACAAATCCCAGAAATCATTAAAAAGCTTCAGGAAACAGGAAAGAATTGATTCTTGCCGATTTTGGTAAATCTGACCGAAGCGATGCCCTTCTTCCCCAGAAAAATGCATACAGACATACTCACAGAAAAAAACAAGTTTCAACGTTACAGGAAAGAAAAGGAAGAAAAAGAAGACATATACCAGGGGTCCTCAAACTATGGCCCGAGGGCCACATGCGGCCCGCTGAGGACATTTATATGGCCTGCCAGGTGTTTATGCCGCTGCTGCCTATCTGTCATTTTTATTTACATGAGAAGGAGGTCATTGGTGGAAGAGGAAGAGGGAGAGGGGGCAGCCACCGCCGCCGATTGGCTGGCTGGCTGAAGCTCTGGATCATGAGAATTGTTGTCCGGCTGCAATCCAGCTTCAGGCGATAAGAGGAACCAAACAGTGCAGCCGGACTACAACTCTCATCTCTCAGGATTCAGAGGAAGCCAGGGCATTTGGGAGGGCCGCCTGAGCAGTGACTAGTGGGCAGTGAAGGTTGGAAGTGGGAGCGCAAAGAGCGGGAGAGAGAGTGCGGGAAACGGAGGCATTACAGCGCAAAGGCAGCTTGGAGGAAGTTGGGAGCATTATTACCTCAGATATATGCAGTGTGCATAGGAATTTGTTCATAGTTTTAGTTTTTACTATAGTCCGGCCCTCCAACGGTCTGAGGGACAGTGAACTGGCCCCCTGTTTAAAAAGTTTGAGGACCCCTGACGTATACTATTGCACCCAGTTCACACACCCTCCAAAGTCCATGCACGAATCTCTGCGTAATGTTTCCCTCACCTGCTGGAGAGGGGCATTCCCCAAACAGAGGAGCCAGTCCCCAAAAAGGGATCCTCTCTCGGGATGACACCCCAGCCAAACGCCGGGGGATTACATGGAGGAGAGCCTGAGGTGCACATCTTAAGACTTCAGGGAGGAGATGATCCTAGAGCAGAAGTAATGGGTTCTAATCCCACACAGTCTGTCCCACGGAAAAGAACAGCCCTGAATCCAAAACACGCAGAGATCTGTGAATGTCTTTCTACGCTCATCTGCTCAAAAGGAAACTCTGGCGGCTTCAGCGTGCAGTTGAAGACATACAGTACCTTCTCTATTTCATGAAGCCAATGGGCCTAGGCTCACAGCTGAAAGTGAACAAACCGTGTCGACCCTTTTGCTGTTTTGTAGATGAGCATCTGCTGCCCTCTTGCTGTTGGTATTCAGCCTATGCCTCTCCTGTGTAACTAATTAAAACAGTTTTCTCACCAGCACACACAACCCAATGCGGCTTCTACAAGACGACTGAAAGGATCCGATTTGTTTTTTAAAAATGCAGTGACATGGGATGGGTACCAAAAATGGCTGATGGTTTGCAAGTTTCCATAAATCTCTCTCTCTCTCTCTAATCAGGGTGGAGGGAAGAATAGGGACTCCCATTTTCTAGCACTTGGTATCAGAGGCCTTTCCCATGGCCTTTGTCTCCAGAACAAGACTCTTCGGGTGCCTTAGAGACTGACCGCTTTATTTCCGTGCGAGCTTTTGGGGATTATTAACCTGCTTCTTCAGACACACTTTTAATGAGGTTTCCGAAGGATGTCCATGCTGAAATTTTAAAGGGGTGACAAGACTTTAGTTGTGTTCTGTTTCTCCTGGAACGGGAGGAGTCCAGCTTCTCTAAACCACTTCATGTTTTTTCCAAAGGAGCCCGCCTGATGTTCTGGGCAGCTCAAAAGCCAGAGAAGGAAGACAAACGCTCGTCTGTTTTCACCCTGGGCGACTGGCATTCAAAGGCAGAACTGCCTCTGAAGCTGGAGGTTCCGTAGGCCTAAGAGATCCTCAGTTTCCAACCCTTCTTTAAAGCCACCTAAACTTTACTCCAGAAAAGTAACGGTTCCAAGTTCTGAGGGACACACAGACATGCATTTCTCCTCTTGGGTAAAGAGATCATTGGCTCCCAATGAACTGGAAGGGTGGCAGGAGAGCCATTTAAACAGACAAACACGGGGAAGACTGGCTGCTTCATCGATTTTGACGCGCTGGATGATATTCAGCTGTCTCAATTGCAGATCCATCACCAAGGCTTTGAGCTCAGCAAGACCTTTGGGGCTGAAGGACTCTTTACTAGGGAGGGAATCAACTGAGAGTTTACTTTGAGTTCTCTCCACGGCAGCCTAAGGGACTTCCTGATCGAAGGCGTGTGCATAGGCAAGCAGATGGAGAAATCACCTCCCGGACAAATCTATAACCTGACAACTCCCAGGGCTTCTGTGGAGGCAGACGTGGTGTTTGCTTTGGCTATCCACGTCCGTCTATATACAGAGGTTTCATTTGTTCAGGGATGCTGCGGCTCTCTGAAGCGCATCCGTCGATATCCATTTGCTCCGCTGCTCTCCGAGGTTGTGTTAGCGGTGGACGCTGAGGCTTAGGGCAGGGAGTGGGAAGGGAGAGGAGACAGAGCAAGCTGGAAGGCTTGAGGAAAAGAGGAAATTCTATAATGGACAGACAAGGAAGCCAACAGGAACAAGGGCCCAGGCTGGTCTCAATCTGAATGAGAGACCCAAGTGTAAAGATGTTGAAAAGAAGAGGTGTGGGGGCGGATATTGACCAAACATTCTCAATGCATGTAGGTTGACCAATTAATTATCTTCTGATCTCCTTCAAGGGCAGTTAAGCAAAGTGTGCTGCTCCCATATTGCCTCACAGGGCTTAAAGCACTTTCTGGGTGGTTTACAATTTAATTAGGCTGGTTGCACATTGCCCCCCCCCCTTTCCAGCAAGCTCGGCTTTTACAATTTAATTAGGCTGGTTGCACATTCCCCCCACTTTCCAGCAAGCTGGGCTCTCAGTTTACTGACCTGGGAAGGATGGAAGGCCGAGTCAACCTCGAGCCGGCTACCTGGGCCCGTCAGGATCAAACTCAGTTCGGGAACAGAGTCCTGACGTCAGTGCTGCAGTTTAAGCACAGCACCCCAAAGCATGAACACCAGCACTTGTAGCAGTTCCTGTGCCACTGAATGAAATTTGGAAATGGAGCCTCTGAAATGACTTAGAAGGCACTGCTGGAGTCGCAGCTCTCTGAAAGGCTATCAAGGAATGAATTCATTCAGCCTTGGCAGGAATTCCTTTAAGGCGCAGGGGAATCCGAGGGGCTGCCTAGAGGGGCAAAGGCCCCCCTGAGAGTGTTAAAGGAAGCCCACCAAGCGAGGCAGCCAAGCACAGCCCCCTGATTCTTTCGGGTCTTTTTCTGTTGCTGCAGCGGCACCGCCCCATTTCCCAAGCCCTCTTGGTCTGTCCCCATCCTCTTCCTTCTCTGCTTGATGGTTTCCTGGCTATCTATTTGTCCGTGTTACTCTAAGAATTCCTTTCCCACTCTTCAAATCCACTTCCAGAATAATGATAATAAAGAGATACATTAAAAAAAACAACAAAATTCTGATTTCACAAAATCAAAAGTTTTTAAAAGACATTTCTCCTCCTCTGGGTTGCTGCTTTTTCTGGCTGCCTCGTTTGCCCTCCCTTCTCTTGGCCTCATGGACCCTCACTGGCCACTCAGTCTTAGAGGACAGGGTTCACTGGTTTTATGCTGTCAAATGATATCCAGGATTGTATGCAACGGTGTGTGACGTGGCTCACAAAAGAACCCAGGAGTTGAAGCGGCCAGAATTTTTAAAAAAAGCAAAACTGGCTAGGAGGAGGAAGGGCAAGAGAGAAGAAAGGAGGATATTGAAAAGCACTAAAACAATGAGAAAATATGGGAGAAACATTCTTCAACAGATTTTCAGGCAGGCTATGGAAGCCTGCAATCTTCAGATCTTACCAGCTGGATCTCGACGGCAGTCCCAGGCCTGTGGTTGAGCAGCTGTAATTTTTCTGCCCTGAGCAAAAGCAAAGAACACGGCATAGTATAATTTGGGGGTTCTGGTCACCAGGGCTGCGCCACAGGCTCACACATCCCCGGCCGCACAACCTCCAAAGTTGCTCACGAGCCAACTTTGAAGCCTGGCTTCAGACGAGAGACCCAGCCATCAAAAGAGGAGCTCAACTGGGGGGGGGGGGTTGGAGGAAAATGCCCAGTGCTGCATCCATAACCCACGGTTTTAATTTCCTAACCCGTGATTTTCAGAACCATCCCCTTTCTGTGCTTGGACACTTTCACAAGCCGCTGCTCTCCGTAAACTCAGGATTCATTACAGATACTGGTCGCAGTGCATATCCGGCTTCTTTAAAGCAAGGCCAGAGGGCTAGAGGAAATATTTTAAGTTATTTGGTGCCAGAATAAAATCTGTGGTGTCAATTTCATATTCCTGCATGCTCAAATATGGAGGAAGATGGCTGGGGGGGGGAAGGGAATCCACATGCTGGCGGGGGTAATGGTTTGTTTGTTTTTTAATGAATTGGATTGCTAACTTCTAACTTCTTTATTTTGAATTTGCAATCTTTTAACACTCTTCTTTTAGAATGCAACCTGATTTGAATGAAAGGCTATAATCTCAGCTGAATTTATGACTACCTCACAAACGTACACAAGGCTGTCCTAATTGAGTTACTTTTCTTTTTCACTGACAAAAAAATAAAAATAAAGGGGAGGCTTGGAAAAGCGCTGAGTGACCTGCCAGCCTTTGGCACCATCTTTACTTCCGAGAATGCAGCTAGATCCCACTAGGTGTCTTGTGACTGGCCGGACCTGACAAGCCCATCCTTTTGAAGGCATCCATTTTTTCCAGGTCACCTATGACATTCCCTCAAACTTCTCAATGTACTCAACCAGTGATTAGGGTCCCATGGAGTACCAAGCCCATCACTGGCCACTGCAATCCAAGTTCCTCTTCTCTCTGGGTCTATTCTCGCTCGTCACAAATTCATTTACAGCCCAAGGGGGAATACCAACCAACCCCACATGCAGAAATGCCTCCCTGTAACAGCTTCTAGGCAGAACTGCAAGGGTAGGGGGAAGATTTAAAGCACGGCTCTCGGCCACACAGCCAAGAAATGCCCGTAGGGTCTCTGAGGTGCAGAAAGGAGCATTTTGAAAAGCAGCTTTTGAGAAGAGGGGGGACAGGGGTGCTCTCAGGCTTGCCACAACCCATCTGTCACCCTTCACCTACCTTACAGAGAGATGCTGCAGAATAAGACATGATACGTCTAGTTACAATGCATTACAAAACACAACGGCAGCAAAATATGGTAGAAAGAAGGGTTAAGGCTCAGTGGGCTAGTCAGCCAGCCGGCCAAGCCCTCCTCCAGGCCTACTCTGCTGCCTTTGAACCCCTCTTGGTTCTTCTTCCACCCCACAGTGGGCCAAGGTATATTATTATTTTATATTTGTTTTATTTATAGGCCACTTTTCTCCCGATACGAGGACACAAGGCAACTCACCATGTTAAAAAGATCAGAATTTTTAAAAAGTTAAAAAAAAAAAACATTCAACTAGATGCTATTTAAAATGCAATGGAATAATTAAAAGCAAGTAAAGATTTAAAATGATCTTGACTTTAAAATGGAACTCTATTATGATTGTTAAAATCATGTCGCCTGCCTGCTGATCATTCTCAGCCCTGACAGCCCTGTTCTAGATATTTTTCCCACTCACACAAACAGAGAGAGAGACTTTAGTCTCTCCCCCACACAAACGGTCTTTGTATTTCTGCAAATTCCGGGTTCCCCCTAACCCTTTTAACATCCTTCCTCTTCAGTGTGGACTGTGCCATTCGTGCTGCTGCAGAAAGACTCCTGTTTGGAGTCCCAGAGTTTGCATATTGGAAATAATCCTATTTGTAGAATCCTATTCATGGTCCAGCCAGAAAGAGAACTGCCCATCATTTTACACAAAGGCTGGAAATATTCCCGTCCCGTCCACATCTGCCTCTTCTTATATCACAACAGGCAAGGCAAACAGAGGCATATAAGGGGGACCCCAACCTCCTTTCACACAAGGTGACTCAACAGAGGACCTTTCCTGTCTCCCCCAAAAATCCTTGTTTGCTTTTTTTAAAATACTGAGAGCAACTGAATTTAGGACAGCTGGGGGAACGGCTATCACTGCCACTACGGACTGAAAGAGACGCCTCTCTCTCTCTCTCTCTCTCTCTCTCTGTGTCTGTGTGTGTGTGTGTGTGTAGGAGACAGAGAGAGACAGAGAAGCACAGAAGATGGGCTGGAAGACACAGAAGGAAAGCTACTATTAGATGGGGCCAACATCATCCTGCACAAGACACCTTCTCAAATCAAAAACTTTTTAAATCTTTCTCCTCCTTTGCTTGGCTTTTCATTCTCTCTATTCAGAAGCAAACTGGTGGCAGGAAACAGGAGTTTTCAGCAAGAGAGACCTGTGAGGGCAGCTCCCTCTGCTGTTGATTTCCATCCTTACATACGTACAATCCTGTGTGTTGTTTCTTTGTGTTTTTAGAATACTGTACGTCCACCTACATCAGGGAGGAGGGAAATGCTACCCTTCCAAATCTGAGCCTCCACAGGTAAGCCTTGATCTGGCCTTGGAAAAAGGGAGGGATAAGGGTGGGAGACACACACACACCCCTGATCAGCAACGCCCAAGTGGGATTCAGGGAGAATCTGCTACCTACCGGACAAACCTAGCAAGGAAAACCACTAACCAGTACTTTACCACCTAAAATCAGTGATTTACAGCAATGTTTCTCAAACAAACTGGCAATCCCCTCCAAAAATATGCCAGGGACTAGTACAATGTGGCCAACCTGGGATATGTTGGGGGAAAAGAAGCCTGCATTGAAAATTTTTATTTTTAAAAAAACAGAAATATCAAAACAAACTATTTAAAAGAAGAAACACAGTGCTGTGGCATAGCCAGGTTTCGAAAATATATTTATTACTTTCTTTTCTGGCAGCTCACTGTGGACTGGTGATGGATAGCACACAGACCAGCACTGGTCCAGAGGCCACCACTTCCCAAAGCCCTGATGTGCAGCATATTCTGGGCAACGACACCCCCCATAGCCTTAGAGGGTGAGCCTTTAGTCACTTCTACGTTTGGCCCCATTAGAAAAAAGTTACTCGTTAGGACCAACGAACCTCACAGTGAAAACACACACATAAGACCCTGCAGGAGAACCAGAAGCCAAGCTCTCTCCTAAGGTCTACGCCAGCAACATTAGCAACACCCACAACAACAGTGGTGGACCATTTTTAATCCCTCTTTGGTGTATCTCCTCCTGGGCCAGTCACGTCTTGTTGGGCCACGAACAGGACGGATTCCACGTAAAAGAAAACCGAGCCAGTGGACGCAAAGAGGCCATTGGAAGAGGCAGTATATACCGGTCTCGTGGGACAAATTGGCCTGGAGGTTACGGTGGCCATTCTCGAAGGAAAAGAACTGCAAAGACGGATCCCAGTGGAAACAGCTCAAGAGGTATTCCATAAATCTCACACAACAGGAGCAGAAATAAAGCGTGTTTTTTTTTTAAATAAATAAAAAATTTTCAGTTCCATAGGCATATTTTGTATTTATAATATCCAAATGATTTGAGATCCGTGGTGGTGTTTTAAATATATACCCTCTGGTGATCAGCAGGGTTTTTTTCTTTCTTTTTGGATTAGTTGCTGTCAGGTGGAGTTGCCCTGGTGAAAAGGAAATGCACTGACGGTCTACAAAGTCGAGGAGAAAAAGGGGCGTTTTGAATGGAAAGGTCGGGTCAAAGATAACAGATTGCAGAGTGACAGAACAGCAGACTCGGCCATCCGTCTTTCGTGACTGATGGTTCCTGACAATTTCAATGCTCTTCTGAAAACATAAAAAAGACCCGGAATGCAAGGTCAGACAATGCTTGCCTTGGCTAACTAACCCTAACAGGAGGGGTAAAAGGTCGAGTTGGCGCCTCACAGGAAAAAAAGGGGACCAGCCCGGGGTAAAAGGTCGAGTTGGCGCCTCACAGAAAAAAAAGGGGGGGGACCAGCCTGTCCAATCTGCTGCGTGGGCTACAGGAAAAGACGAACATCAGAGCGCAGAAAGCACTGATTGTTGTCCAGTTGCAAAGGAGGAAAAAAAATTCCCCTTTTGCTTTTCGCATCACAATATCGGGGAACCCTCCCTGCCGGTTCAGCACGCTTCTTTCAGTGGTGGAGCTGGCACAGGGAAGCAGTTTTCCCAACTGTCTCCTCCAATCTTGTCGCCAGATCGCATGGATGGGCAACTCAAGAAAGTCACTGTGCTAGAAGCCCTCTGGAGCAGAGAAAGGCTGAGGATGTGTCCGTCACAGAGAGTCATCCCGTGGGAAACAGTAGGTGTGGACCACTGGGTCTGCCGATAAGCCTTGGGGACCATAGTCCTGGAGGGGGAGAAATATGAGTGTGTGTACCCCACACACATACACAGACACTTGTATTCAGAGCTTAGGCTGAGCAGTAGCATTCCGCTCAACTGTTTCCCGGAAGCAGGGCGTCTATATGGTTCCCTGGAAGTATCCAAGCAGGTCGGAATCTGAGATGGCTCTTTGAATGCGCAGGAGCTGAACCTCAACACGGAAGCCTCAGAAACCAGGGCTCGCTGGGGAACCGGAAAAGCCTGGAGGCAGAAGGGCTGTGTCTGCAGGGGACAAGGAGCGGATTGCAACCCCCAGTGCTTTGCATTCAGCTTCGGAGGGCGGAGGGCGATAGAGATGGAAGGAAGAGGGAAGAGTTAACCAGCCTTCCTCAAACCTGCCCTTCTCCCCTGCAAACGGTCCCCATCCGCTCTGTAGCGGCAAAAAAGGGCAACCGAGATTACCAGGTTTCTCTCAGCTCAGCCTGACTCTTGGAAATTCTGTGCCGATCAGAGAGAAGGATAAAGGACCTGCTAATCAGGGATCATCGCCAGCTGACTGAGGTGTCAAAATATGAAGGGGTGCCAGCTAAGGCTCTTTTTCCCCCATTTCCGAGATGCATATTATTGGACCCTCTGCTACTTGTGCTTTGGCTTCATCTGGGGAGGGTAACTTTTAGGGGCTCTAGGACAGATATGGACAAACACACACACACAAATTGATCCCAGAGGGCCATCCCGTGTTTTCAAATCTAAAAAAGAAAGAAAGAAACCCAGGGGAGTCACAGGACCTGCATTGGGTCTATCCTGATCTAGAAACACATTGCTTGGAAGCACCGCCCTGTAAATAAAAGCTTCCAGTGTAAATGTGATTCCTCCAAAAACTCCAGGTAAGGATTTTCAGACACGAGGACTGGAAAGGTTTCAGCCAGGCACAACCCGAGTAAGGAATACTAAAGAAGTCCACCGTCGAACACAGCTGAAATCCACCTCCATAACATTTCTCTCAGGTTCAACTATTATCTCTTGCCCTACATTCAATCTGGCAACTATTTTTCTGCTGCTTGGTGTCATCCCTCTGTACTCCATCTGCTCCTCTCTATGCACTGATAGAATACTTGGTTACAGTGGTGCCTCGCTTAACGACGATAATCTGTTCCAGGAAAATCGCTGTTAAGCGAAAACATCGTAAAGTGAAATAAAAAACCCTACTGAAACGCACTGAAACCCGTTCAATGTGTTCCAATGGGGTAAAAACTCACCGTCCAGCGAAGATCCTCCATACGGCGGCCATTTTTGCTGCCTGTATAACGAGGAATCCATTCCTAAACACAGCGGGGAGCCATCAGACACGAGGACTGGAAAGGTTTCAGCCAGGCACAACCCGAGTAAGGAATACTAAAGAAGTCCACCGTCGAACACAGCTGAAATCCACCTCCATAACATTTCTCTCAGGTTCAACTATTATCTCTTGCCCTACATTCAATCTGGCAAACTATGTTTCTGCTACTTGGTGTCATCCCTCTGTACTCCATCTGCTACTCTCTATGCACTGATAGAATACTCGGTTATCTTTCTACTGTTGAGAATGTCTTGATTGGATCCCCCGACTGTCTTGCTAGATTGCTAATTCTCCATCTCATTATTCTCGAAGAATCGGTTCCTGAAGCAGGGAACCAATCATCGCAAAGCGAAATTCCCCCATTTAGACCATCGTTTTGCGATTGCAAAAAGATCGTCGTAAAGCAGATTTGTCGTAATGCAGGGCAATCGTAAAGCGAGGCACCACTGTATCTTTCTACTGGCGAGAATGGCTTGACTGGATGCCCCGACTGTCTTGCTAGATTGCTAATTCTCCATCTCATTATTCTCCCTTGGAACAATCCATTTCAGGCCAGAGTTATTCTTAAGGATCCCAGATCATTCAGCAAGATGTACTGAATTACACCGTGGATGCATTTCAGGGGTCCTGGAAACAGAACAGCAGCTGGATGGGAAGACTGACCCATCCAGCAACCTGGATCCATTTTTACACATTAAAAACCAACTCACTTTGTAAGCTTGTGGCTTTTCAAGGCGACAAGGAAGTCTTGGACCACCTCAGGGTCTTGGAACCGGCACGGCGTCTTAGATAAGTATTTCAGTGTCTGGAAGAAACAGAAAACAAAGGCAGCACAAGTCATTCCTGTACATTCGTGTGTGTGCTTTTCGATAGGAGATCAAACAATTAGCCAAAATCCGTCAGAAAGAAACACTGGAGTTTATTATCCTATTGGAAGCCATGTAAAGCTATTCCAGCAAAAACCCAAAGCTCAAGTGTTTTAAGGGAATAGAATATATTTTCTTATTTTTTTTACCTCATCATGTGCATCATTAGAGCTGGCGGAAAGAGAGGCGAAGGCAGGGAGTAAAAGGCAAGCTAGCTCCCCAAAAGTAAAACCAAGGCTGAAGGATTCAAATTTCTGGACTCAAGGTCACAGAGTCAGTAAAATGATTATTTTGGGGGGAAAAAACTGACAAGCCAAAGAGAGTGGAGGAAGGAGCAGTAGAATATTTTGGCACTTTTAAAACGAACAGGTTTGTGTCGGTGTGAACATTTGTAGATCAAATTGAGCCTCGGCAGAACAAAGCGACAGGAAAAATTCTTCTCTCTCATTAGAGGGTTTATAAAAAGGTAGCAGCCGGGTGTCCAGCCATAAGAGGAGACACATGGCACATGGAGGAGAACGGAGAGAGCAGGATGGTGAGGAACGGCGTGCAAGGCTGGAATGCTCCCAGCCAAGTTTTTACTCACTTCGTACATGATGGTGTTCAGGTTCTGCTGACCAGCCGTCTGCTTGCTTCTCCCCGTCTCTCTCCGCTGCTGCTTAAGATCGGTCAGCAGCTGGTAGACCTGTAAGAACCAGCATTGCTGTGAAGAGGCTTTAAGACAACATGCTCATAAAGCTAGGCACCCATCAGGTTTACTAAACCAGAATGAAGGGTATGTGGGAAATCCCCTCCACTCTGCTGGCTGGGTTCCCAATCATTTCCCAAAATCTATCAACTAGAGTCAGGAGCAAATAATGACTCAGGAAGGTGAACAAAGATTTAAGGGACTGGTTTCCTTTGCAAAACAGAACTCACACCAAGTTTTCAACACAACTGCCTGCTCCTGGTTTCCCTGACAATTTCGAGCAGCCTCCTTCAGGAATTTAAAGGGGACATTTACTGCCCTAGACCTTCAGGATCCCCAAATCCTTGCTAACTGACTGCAAATTGATCTACAGTACTAAGAAAACTGAACTACCCCTCTGCCCGTCTGATTTTAAATTACAATTCAGAGTCTCCATAAAAGCCATAAAAATACGACAGGCAATTACTAGTACAATAAAGCAAGGAGGAAAGTGGCGATTTTAAGAAGCAAATGTTCTATTCTTGCACAGCCCATGGGCAAAGGGGGCTTCTAAAGCAGTGTTTCTTCACCAACCTGTAAAGATGTGAAGGAGAGTCAATCAGGGCTCTCACAGCCAGCATTTCAGCCCTGCTGCTGAGAAAGCCCCTTCTCTCCTGCCCATCTGACACAACTTCAGATGACAAAAGAGTGGCGAAGAGCACGGCTTCCTCCAAAATAGGGGTGGGCAACTTCTGCAAAACTGGGAGCCATTTCTGCCCTTCCCTGGACTTAAAGAGGGCCATCTACACCTCCTGGCATACCAATGCCATACCACTTGGGAAAAAATATCTGTCCTACTCATCTCTTTAGCCCTGTTTAAATTGAAATACACTTTTGTTTCCTTCCCAGTCTTAAAACAAAGGATTGGAAATGATGTTTAAATGGGAATTGTGTCTCAAAGGTTTGTAAGAGTAATCTGACATTTGAGGTGGGGCCCCCAAAATGGGGGTAGGGTGTGAGGGAAAGCCAGGAAAGGGACCCAGTGGGCTATCCCTCATCTACACCTACTCTAGAGACAGAAGCATGTACTGCAACTGGGACCGGCGGAGCCGATCTTTCTGGTACCCAGCTTCAAAAGGTTAACGGCTTTCAACAGTGAGACCTGGCCTTTGGAACTGGACAAGAAAACCCACTCGGTGTAACTTCTCGTGGTACTTAATTACCTCATAATTGCTGAGAAGAGCTGCATTCCCGTCTTTCCTAGAAAGCAAACAAACATAAAACAGAGGAGTGTCACGGGATGCGGAGGGGACATGGGCAACTTTAAAAGCCCGGCCTCCCCCTGCCATGCTCAAAGGGAAGTAGCTTTAAGAAGAAAGCGACTGGTTGTGTGTTCATCCAGAATTGTCCTCCATGATCGTGGACCGGACAACCAGGGTCACCTCATCAATCGCTTTATAAGTCCGTGTGCAAGGTCCTTGCTTCCCACTTGAAAAGAGAACTTCCTAGCATCCCAAATGGACCAGCGAGAGATTCAGGGCATCTAAACGGAGATGTTTCTTCCCACCCTACGGCATGAAGTTAAACCAGATCCAACGACAATGGGGTAGGATGGCTTTAAAAGGTTAGACCTCACCTCCATGAATCCGTCTATGGGCAGAGGCTGCTGGCTAAGAGGCTCAAGCAGAACCTTCATGCTCAAAAGCAGTCTACCTCTAAACCCAAAAGAATGGGGCTCAAGAGCAGGAGAGGAGGGTTGCCCTTCACACCCTCCTCTGGAACATTTATTAGATGTTCCTGGGCTGTACAGATCACTGGCTCAACCCAGCACACCTCCGTTTGTGTCTTTTGTTAAAAAAAACAGGAGCTGGTCCACCCGTGTTCCCGTCCTCCTTGGCAGACTCGTTTCCACCTGGGGTCCTCCACATCTTCTTTGTATCAACAAACAACCACCGTTCTTTTATAGCACTGGTGATCCGAACTATAATAGAACCAGTGCTGCTCCAACCCACCTAGCTATGGTCCCGCTTCTCTGCATTGGCCCGTGTTAGCAATGGTCCATCCTGCACACGGGGCAAAGCTAGGGCGGGAATAAAGGTGAGGCGCAAGCGGTAAGGCGATGGAAGGGCAGCCCGAGGGGTCTCTGTCCTACAGCCAGTCCTACATCTTTAAAGCCAGCCTGTTCCCTCAAGCCCAGTGGGAGACACGATCCATTGACCAAGGCTCAGTGGTGAGCCTAACCAAGGTCCACGCCAAGCACAGGAGCGCCACGTTGCTGACACCTGGTTCTCCTGTGAGCTGCTCATCCTATTTCAGCATGCCCCGATTAATTTTATTTCTTTAAATAATGACTAAATAAAGGTACTGTACTTTAAAAGAAAAAAAAAACACCCTAGGACCGCAAGCGCTATACATCTGGGGGACAAAAGATTCTGCTGAACAGACAAGACAGCAGGAACAACAGGAAAGTTGCCACAGCTATACAAAAGGAGGAGGGGGGCACCAGGCAATTCTCGACCCCCCCATACACACACACAGTTGCCACATATTTAAAAGCACAATGTATTGTGTCCAGCACAGCCCAGCAGGGCTGAATAGAATCGTCGCCATCATCACTTTCAAACAAGTTCAACGTCTCTTCCACAAACTTCCACAAGTTCTAGCATGGTTTTTAAATTGCCCCGGGGATGTGGCCGGAGGGGGAGGGGAATCGAGGGGGAGCCCCTTCCCAAAATATGCTGAGGTCGGGCTCTCGCCCACATTTTGCTGACGCGAGAGAAACAACACCGAGGAGCGAGCTTACATATAGGCGCACGCACGCCCGTCCATATGGTGAGAAGGGTGACGGCCGCTGTTTTATTGATAGGGTGTATTTAATTCCTTGGAGTGTAGGGCGGGTCCACTAACCTCTAGAGAAATCCCGAACGAACAAACCCTAATTATAAAAAGTCTGCATAAGATAGAAAGTATTGGAAACATACAGAACAGCACACAAGATTCAGTGGAGAATAAAATCTGAAATCTCAAGTGATTCTATAAAAGGTTGGCTCAAGGGGGAGGCGGGGAAATGGAAGAAAAATGTTTTGGTTTTCTCCAAATTAATCAGGAGAATCAAGGAGATGACACTGCTTTCCAGTTTTCTTCTGCTTGGGAAGAGGGAATCACAGCCACTCAATTATACTCATTTTTAATTGGCTTCTGTACTACATCTTCACAGCAAGCATTATGTTCTCCTTCGCTGGCCACGATTCTGTGTAAACATCATCGGAAGTAAATCCCATCAAAATCAGGGGAACCGTTATGGAGAGCTCCATATTCTCATCTTATGGGTATAATCATCCTATTCAAATCAATGTTAAAATGATTTTTGTTAAGGGTTTAGCATAAATAAACTGAAAGAAACCTAGTTAACTACGGCATTTTATACCACTCTCTCTGGTTACCTGTTACTCCTTTCACACTATATATATACACTAAATTTGCAAATAAGTCCATAAAATGATACTCTCTCCCAAACTAGCCTATAAAAGCTTTTTACTGGTTCACTGGACTGCATTTAATCCTCTGCACAGGCTAAAAAGGAAACAATTTTTTTACTGTTTTCCTGGCTGTTCGCCTGCACAAGATTTTTACTCACCCAAATGATCAACCACTGGAGGCAACACATTACCATTTTTTTAAATTAAATGATCCAATTTCCAAACTCAAACACGCCCCCCCGAAAAAAAAACAGGAAGAGAAAATTGCATCCTATGCCTGTTGCAGAAGCTGTTTGCCTTGATTTCCAACATTTACACCCATATCAGCACTCAATTTACAAATAAAGTCATAAAATATCAAACTACCAAATGCCATAAAATTAACCTCGAAACAGTAACACATGAAGTCTAGTTACTATAGTTAATAAGTAACCATAGCTGTCAGGGTTTCAGGAAGCTGTGTACATACTTTGTATATATACTGTGTATATACTGTGTATATACTGTGTATATACTTACAATGACAATAAATTATATTATATTATATTATTATATTATTATATTAACAAATGGGGGAAAGGAAGAAAAGCAAGCTGGAAACTGCTTAGGTGAAGTTTCTTTCTTTGGACTACAACTCCCAGTATCCCACAGGTAGCAGAGGAAAGGATGGGAACAAGAAAACATTGAATACAAGTTCCCCCAGGTTTTTCCCCCACTACAATTCCCAGAATCTTCCAGCTATCGATCAAGGAAGCAAAGAAATTCGAAAGTGCTTGGAGAAGTTCCTTCCCGCCCCCCGCAATTTGCATTACAGGCCCTAAAATCCCCTTGACAGCATATGAAAGTAACAGGAGCACGCAACATCAAACATGGCTTAGAAGCGTTTGGGCGCGCGGACTACAAGACCCAGCATCCCCCTCAAAACTAGCACCCTAAACGCTGTTCCCCAGGCAAAGGCCCTGGGGTGGAGGGGTTGGGCTAGGCCTTGGTGGGGGGAGCGGGGAGACTAAGGTGCAAAGCAGCCGCCCACCCCACTTGAGCCATGGCTGGCCTGCCTGGCAGGGTTGTTGTGAGGATAAATGCGGTGGGGGGAGGGAGAGAGACAGAGAAATGACGGACTCAGGGGGCGAAAGCCGGGGCAAAATACATACATATGAAACGTGCAGTAACGGTGACAATAAAAAGAATTATGTCAGGCTACCACACACACACACCCTCCCGTCGATGAAAAAAAAGGGGGTCCCCTCAAGGCCACAGGGGCCGCCGCCATCTTACACTTCCATCTTGCCCCCGTTGTTGTCGTCCTCCTCCTCCGGTTCGGCTCGCTGTGGACCCCAGGCTTCCCCCGGCTGCTTCCCTCTGCCCGGCCCAGTCGAGCTCCGTCTGCCCCCCTCCGAGCACGCCAGGCCGAGGCCTACTAGGCCGCGCCTGCTTTTCCCCTCAGGAAAAGGCGCCCCGTCGAAGGCCGAGCTGACGCTACCAATACACACCCCTCCCCAGCTCGGAGGGACTTGTCTGGGGAAGGGAAAACCTTCCCCTTGAATAAAGAGAATATATACAGTATATCTTTTTTTTTCCTTTAAGTTATCGGAGCGTTTGCAGCCTACCAAGGCCTTTGGACTACAGCTCCCAGAAGTCCTTCCCATCGGCCATATTGGCAAAGGATTCCGGGAGTTGAAGTTCGAAGGGACGGAATGGCGCTCCCGAGCGGGGGATGGGTTGGGCTCCACCCAATACCGTTTTAAAAATTTCGCACGGCGTTACATACTTTGGGGTTTTGCCAGTTTTTATATAATTGTACCCCTTTTCATGTTGTTTCCGTGTTTGCTGCATCTCTTTTCGTTTTGCTTTCGCCATGCAGTTCTAACAGTAATTGTTCATTCTTGCA